TCGGCCACCCCCCTTCCACTCCCCTTTTCCCTCCTGACCCCAGCTCGGGTCTTAAATGCTGTACACTGTCCAGCGCCTTGGGACGTCCTCCCGACCAGAAACCTAACATAACCTGTCCGTTCCCTCCGCTCAGCAGGTTCCGGCTCGTCCCACCATGGGTGGTCAAGACTTGATCTCCTCTGTCCCCCACCCTCTGGAACTTAATCCCACCCTTCTACCCTCTCTGTCCTCCACCTTCCCTGATCCTAATCCCCCACAGCTCAGGTCCTAATCCCTAACTGTTTATAGAGTCTTGGGATTCAAATAAACTGAGTCCCAAGTCGATATCCCCAGCCACTGTGAAGGCCAGCAAGGATGCTGAGGCTGATGCTGAAGCTGCTCAGCGCAAGTTTGGCACCTGCTAGGAATTGAGAGTCTACACGTGGGCCCGCGGATTTATTTTGTAATTTTTAGGTTTCAGGCCTGGTCCGGTTTGAATTCCAGATACCTGTATTCCACCCAAAGATTAGCATTATCTTTGGCTGGTGGTGACTTATAGCTTAAGACAGGGGTTTATTCTATAAGACACCACCATCCAAAAATAATAATCCTGCTAATATTGTTGGAGTGTAAGTGCTTCTCAATAAGATCACGGACCTGAACCTTTCACTTTCAATTTGTATCCAAGGATCCAACCTATTTCATAAAGAACAGCACATACAGGTTTGGTAAACATCAAGTTGCAAACATATAGTGCCAAAGAATTTGTCAACAGAAGAGTTACAACATTCCTGAAGTATATTTGTGAAAAGTAGAACTATTATGTGTCATTGAGCGAACATTCCCTTTTGCCAATTTTCAGCACTGAGGGTCTGTTGCTGCAGTGTGGCTACACAAGCGATAGCAACCCTTTGGTGGCTTGCCCAAGAGGCCCTTCTTCAGTAGTGAGCCTGGACCGATATAGGCAGCAGACTATTCACCTGTGGAAGGTATTACACCCAGCTTGTTTGTTCAGGCAGGGTTGTGGGGGAGGGGGATTGGCAATCAGTACAGGAACCTTTGTTGATATTCCCTTTCCTATCTTGGTTGAGATTAACCTACTTTGCAGAGTTCAGAAAATGGGACCTTCTGGTCTTAATGCATTAATGCTTCATAGGATTAAGCCACCAGGGATAAATATTTAAACTCTACCTGTGATAATTATTAAATCTTTACTTTCTGCTTCCAATGGTTCTTGTGGAAATAATTAAAGGAAGAAAAAATGTGAGTTCTTAAAAGTAAATTTTTTAGTCAATTTTGATCGACAAGACAGAAAGAATTTCCAAAAGAAAAGTTCATGCCATAAAAGATTTGACATGCCAAGTTTGGATATTTTTCTGTGGGATTCTCACTTTTCTTTCTGCCAATGCACAAGTGAGTTTCTAAGTTATTTTATTAGCACGTACACACCATATTCTCCAGATCAAGTGCCTTTTCAGAGATGGTCACCTAGATTATTCTGATTGTTGCTGGTGAATCTGAATTATATACACTATTATGTAAACATTTGGTTCAAACAAAAGAGACAATCACTTTTACTGGGAACCACTAAAAAGACTGCTAGTCTGCCTGAGAATGCTGCTCAATCATCAAATATGTGCATTGTGCAGATGAACAAACACAGAAACTGAAAACGTTAAGGAAAATGAAAATCCTTTGGGATTAAGTAAAATCCATATGTATCCCCCATTTCATGCCATCACTGTAGAAAAGCACCACTTATTTTTAGATAGGTAAAACCACTTTTTTAAGTGTTAGAATTATTAATGTTAAGTAGGGGATACAATGCAAATTCCAAGCAATGAATGAACCTTAGCATCGATTAAACTAATCTATAAATGCATACACAGCAGTTTTACCAACTCTAATGAGCAGTGCAGTTTATTTTATTTAGTGCCCATGGTACTTTCCTGAGGATTATACAAACATTTATACATCCCATTTGTTTGAAACTTTAACAGTGCTTCTGAGAACTGTGCAAATGAGAAATCCTAAAGTGCGAAGTGCAATAAGACAATGGTGACTGGTTACAGCAGTAGAGGCCAACCTGTGGCTCGCAGGCCAGAAGTGGTCCCCAGACCATCAAGAAGCAACCCCCCAGAACTTTTACACGAGTCTGGATAAGTCCGTGTTCAAATGGTAGTGTGTTTTCAGCTTTTTTCTTGATTGAATATTTCTCGATTTATGGCATAAATCAAGAAATATTCAATCAAGAGAATTTATTATGTTGGCCGACTATAAAGGTTGGCTAACACTGGGTTAAAGGATGATAAACCAGTTTTGTGCTAAGTCCTGCAATGTCACTGGGTTGAAATCATGATCAGAATTGTAAAACACCAGAAATATTTGAGGATTTATGCTCGTCAGTTCAGTTGCCAACAACAAAAAGAAAATAATACCAAACGTAATATTAATAAAAGGGAACAATGCTCAAAAATTAAATACATTTGCTATGAAAATAAATAAAACACTACTGTTAACTTAGTAGATCAGCTGTGCCAAGCTACAACAATCTGTGGTACTAAAAGAGGCCACATCTCATAACACAAGATTTGAATCTTGAAGTGTAGTTTTTTATAGTCCTGTAAAAAGGTGGCCTGAATTTAGCCATGCCCTTTTTTTTGTTAGGACCATAAAAATGACAGTGCAAGATACATAAACCTATTTTAAGCAAAATAACATTAACATTTTTTTGTCTGTTAAACAGTGAAGCCATGTTGTGTGTCTTGATTCCCTATGCTTCAGTTAAGCATTACCATCCTATTCCTTTCTCCTCCTCTTCTCCTCCCCACCCCCAAAAGTCAGGTCTCTTAATATTACAAGGACTCCTTCTCTGTCTATTACACCACAGCTCTCCCACCTCACTCTGTTTTTAAGCGCTTATTGGGGGGGGGGGAGGGGGGGCGGCAATTGGCAAATATTTGAAGAGAAAAAGGCATCTGCTTGGGGAGGGGGAAGTCAGTTCACATTAAATGTCAATTCATTTTAAATCTCCCGCCTCTCGTTTTTTTAAAAAAGTTTAATTTTTTTTTAGCTTTGCGATACGGATGGGGGACGGAATAGCTTTATGTTGTGTGTGTGTGTGTGTGTGTATATATATATAAAATGATATACATCCACGTTTATAATATATATAGTTTATATATTAATACAAACGCACACACAAACCAAAGCCTTGGGATTTACAGTTCAAGAACATAACCATTCCCCCCTGTGAAAATATTTTAATATTTTGATATTTTCACCCCCTTACTAAGCTCGGAGGGTAGTGTATATATATACACTATATATATATATATATATAACCCCCAGAGTGACTGACTGACTGACTGACTGACGGACTGTCTGACAGCTGCTGCTGGGAAGGCAAACAGCGGCCTCCAAGCGGCGCCCCGAGGCCTGGAGCGGGACTAACGACTAGGCCGCCTCCTCCTCCTGACACAGGTGGCTTTACATAGTATATTATTATTATACTACAGGGAATTGGTTCGTTTTTATTGATTGTTTTAAGAATAATATCAACCCGTCCTTGTCCCCTCTCTCTCTCCTCCTTCACTTTCCTCTCTCTCTCTCTCTCTCTCTCCCCACACTGTTTGGCGGCTGAGCTGAACTCACCTTGTCGGTTCGTTTGCACGGCTCTATACCTGTCCCTGTTATGACTACAGTCTCCCCCCGCCAGACCGCTCACTGAGCAACAGTCGGCCTTTTCATTCCTAAAACTCTCCACTAGCTGCGGGATGGGCCAACTCACGTCCATGGCCGCGCACTGACTGCGCCACGGCCCCCGCCCCCGGCGCGAGCCCCGCCCCCAGCCAACCGACACCCCGCCCCCAGCGCGAGCCCCGCCCCCAGCCAACCGACACCCCGCCCCCAGCGCGAGCCCCGCCCCCAGCGCGAGCCCCGCCCCCAGCCAACCGACACCCCGCCCCCAGCGCGAGCCCCGCCCCCAGCCAACAGACACCCCGCCCCCAGCCACCGACACCCGCCCCAGCGCGAGCCCCCCCCAGCCAACCGACACCCCGCCCCCAGCGCGAGCCCCGCCCCCAGCCAACCGACACCCCGCCCCAGCGCGAGCCCCGCCCCCAGCCAACCGACACCCCGCCCCCAGCACGAGCCCCGCCCCCAGCCAACCACCCCCCCCCCCCCGCCGCCCCCAGCCAACCGACACCCCGCCCCCAGCGCGAGCCCCGCCCCCAGCCAACCGACACCCCGCCCCCAGCACGAGCCCCGCCCCAGCGCGAGCCCCGCCCCAGCCAACCGACACCCCGCCCCCAGCACGAACCCCGCCCCCAGCCAACCGACACCCCCCCCCCCGACACCCCGCCCCCAGCCAACCGACACCCCGCCCCAGCCAACCGACACCCCGCCCCCAGCCAACCGACACCCCGCCCCCAGCCAACCGACACCCCGCCCCCAGCCAACCGACCCCCGCCCCCAGCCCGACCCCCCCCGCCCCCAGCACGAGCCCGCCCCCAGCCAACCGACACCCCGCCCCCAGCCAACCACCCCCCCCCCCGCCCCCAGCACGAGCCCCCCCCAGCCAACCGACACCCCGCCCCCAGCACAAGTCCCGCCCCAGCACGAGCCCCCCCCCCCCCGTCCACCCCCCAGCAGAAACCCCGCCCACACACACCCCATGTCCAGCGCGAGCCCCCCACACACCCCATCCCCACCCAACCCCATCTAATACCCCGCCCCCCAGCGCAAGCCCCCCACACACACCCTGCCCCCAGTGCGAACCCCACCCCCAGCCCCAGAGCAAGCACCCCTGCCTACCCACACACACCTCGCCCCCAGTGCAAGCCCCCCATTTTCCCCCATGGTCAGTGACTTAGTTACACACCCTGCCCCCAGAGGGAGGCCTCCCCAGATCGCCCCCATGCACTCACTCACACACCCCCCCACACACACATCCCGCCCCCTCACACATGCTTCAATTGCCACCTGTACGGAAACAAAATGGTGTCCCCAGACACACCTACTTTGGAACTGAGTCACTGATCATGATTGCTCTAGGATTGGCCACTGATGACACTTGGTCTTTGACAGCCCCCCACACCTGCTCTAGAATTGATCACTGATGACACTGCTCCAGAATTGGCCACTGTTGACACCTTCTCTTGGATTGATTGCATTTGACTGATAGAGTTGCCACATCCGAGATGCAACAAAAAAAGCCCAATGGACCCCACAAAACAACAGCAAAATAACATTTGTAAAGTGGCCTTCATGTCAGGACAGTGCTGGACAGTCAGCGTTTCGGACCCGAGCTGGACGTCGGGATCGGGGAAGGTCGAGGACAGAGGGGGCTGGAGAGTGATTGAAAGCACGGTCAAAGAGGAGGGTCTTGAGACGGGTTTTGAAGAAGGCGAGGGAGGGGGCGAGGTGGAGGGATTTCGGGATGGGGTTCCAAAGGGTGGGGGCAGAGTGGCGGAAGACATCAACAACCTGCGTTTATATAGCGCCTTTCCATTTGAAGCTGAGCTGCGGAGAGAGAGGAGGTAACTGTAGACACGGTCGAAGACAAACTCTTCACAAGTGATTTGAAGATGGGTAGAGGGAATAAAACGGAGGGATTGAAGCAGAAACAGTGCATCGTAATAAAAATCCTTGGAACCCTCAACTGTCCAGTGCCTTGGGATATGTCCTCCCAAAGTGAAAAGAGCTGTCTAAATCCGATTCATTTGTTCCTTCGTTTGTATATTTTCACATCAGGAGGACATCCCAAAGCGGTTAAGAAGAATTCTGTAATCGCGATGAACTGTGGCACCATTATCACTGCTGACGGCAGGTGGCGCTGTGACCCGCCGCCCCCCAACAACACGTCACTGCCGAGGCTCAGAGGCGCTACCACTGAGATCCTGGATAAGAAGTGGGGGAGGGAAAAAGCGAGAAGAACCTCCTGCTCGCATTAACACGTTATATGGGATAACATTCCCACTTCAGGTGGGAGCAGACAATTAGACGTAGTTGGCGCAAATGTTAAAAGATATGTATGCGGACTCCCCCCCCTCCCTCTCTCCATCGGTGGTGCGGTCCCGGCCGCCGTTTGTTTGGGGGGGGTGGGGAGACCAGCGTGATGACGTCAGCGGCAGGGCCAGGACGGGCAGCGTCACCATGGACCCCGTGCTGTACGTGCTGGCCGCCGTCGCCATAGCGATTCTCATCTTATTCGTGTCCAGGATCAGGCGTCAGGTGCGAGAAGGTAACGATTCCCCTCGAAAGAATGACAGCGGTGATGTAAAAAGAAGAAGACGGCCGCGCTCGAAGCGCGGAGGCTGGAAAATGCGACACCCGCCCCCTCCCCCACCGCTCCACCCTCCTCCCCCCCCCCGAGAGGCGGGCGCTGCGCTCCATCAGTCACTGGCTGTCACGGACCGCGCCGGCGCACAGCGGTCAGTCACGTGACGCGACGCGCAGGTGGGCGGGGTTTTCTGTGCCGGCGGCGGCGCTGAGTGGTCGGTTTGACTGTCCGTCAAATCGGCGGCTGCAGAGACGGGGCTTGAAGGTGGCACCGGAGGGGGCGAGGCGGAGGGGGACTGGGGGTCCAGAGGGTGGCGGCAGAGTGGCAGAAGGCCCACCCGCCATTGGTGGGGTGGGCCAGGCGGGGGATGTGAGGCAGGCCGGAGCCCGCTGAGCGGGGGGAGCGGGCAGGGTGGGAGGGGGTTAGGAGGTCGCAGAGGTAGGGGGGAGCGAGGCCATGGAGGGCTTTGAAGGTGAGGACCAGGATCTTGAACTGTATCCTCTGTGTGATGGGAAGCAGTGGAGTCGGGCGAGGACGGGGGTGATAGGGTCACGGAGTCTGGTGTAGGAGAGGACACGGGCTGCAGAGCTCTGGATGACCTGCAGCCTATGGAGGGAGGAGTTGGGGAGGCCGACAAGCAGGGAGTTTGCATAGTCGAGCCTCGATGCTATCAATTCGTGTATGAGGGTCTCGCCGGCCTGCAATGTGAGACATTGGCAGAGCCGGGCGATGTTGCAGAGATGGGGGAAGGCAGAGCGGGTGATGGCATTGATTTGGGGTAGAAAGGATAGTTGAGCGTCAAACAAGATGTCAGGGTTCAGGACTGGCTCAGTAAGGTGGAGTGTGCGTCCTTGGATGGTGATGCTATCAGTGCCTGAAGTGTAGAGGCGTTGATGGGAGCCAATCAGGAGAGCCTTGGTCTTGTTGACATTCAGCAACAACAACATCGTGCATTTATGTAGAGCCCTTCACGCCGGGTTGCATCCCGCAGCTCTTAACAGTGGCAGAATCTGACCCTGAGCCAGGGGGAGAGGGAGGGGAGAAATGACTAAGCACGATTAAAAAGGATGGTCTTAAGGTGGAATTTAAAAGTGGGGAGGGAGGGAGGGGGCCTTTCAAGTTGGAAGGACTTCTCAAAGTGCTTCACGGGATTGTAAAGTACATTTGGGGGCGAATGTGGCAGTCCAATTTATACACAAGGGTCATGGTGTGAGCCACCAAGTTTACCTGGGGAATTGTTGGCCGTGACACTGGGAGAGAGAAACTCTTTTCAAGTAGGGTCATAGGATCTTTAATGTCCACTTAAACAGGCAGACATTTGATGTCTCATTCGAAGGACATTACCTCCAACTGCGCTCCCTCCAGCACTGCTTTGGAATGCCAATCTCGACTTCCAGCGAGAGCAGGAAATATCAGCATTTCTGGTGGCTTTCTGCACAGCTGGCCCATTAATTATTTTGTTAAGAAAAAAATATTTGATAGCTGTAATAGAAAATAAACACCTGGAAGTGGCTTACAAAAATGTAACATTTATGTAACATACATTTTATGATTTGTTTGCTGAATTTCAGAATTTTGCTTCATAGATGTTTTGTAGTCTTGTAAAGAGACCTGAGGTTGAAGCCTCTGTAGTTATTTTGGCTCTTTTAGCTATTTATTATTATTTGGTTGTAGGTTATTGCTGTGCACAAATTAGCTGCCATGTTTGCCCACAAAACACAGTTACTGTACTTTACTTCCTACCCTTGAAGCACTTTGGGACGTCCTCCTGACGTGAAAGGTACTAAACCAAATGTAAAGTTTTTATTATATTATGGAGAACCCCATTTCAGTTTTGGTCCCATTCTATAGAGGGTACGTTTGTGCATGTATATATACATACACTATGTATATATATATATATATATATAATGTGGAGCGCCATACAAATTTACTGCACCGAAGAAGGCCATTTGACCTATTGTGTCTGTGCTGGCTCTATCAATCACATTTATCTATGCCTTGGAACTTCCTTCCAACGCGAAATATATAAATGCAATTTGTTATTGTTGCCTTTTCCCCAAATCCCTGAAAAGTTCTCCTGTTTTTGTATTTGTCCTGTTCTCTCTTGAGAGCTAATATGGATTCTGCCTTCACCACCCACCTGGAGAGACATCCTAACACCTCTCTGTGGGTAACAAAAAGATCCTCCTAATCTTAAATTGATGGTCTCCAGTTATTGAGTAACAACTTACATTAATACAAATAATATTACTATAAACCAATGTCTCAAAACACTTTATAGAAGCAGTGGACATTATAGATGGTGGCAGGCACAGTTAAGGGGATGGCTTTTAAGAGGTTCTTAAAATAAGCAAACACAAGTGAATTTGGAATAGTTTCAGAGGACAAGGCTAAATAATTTGTTTATGATCATGGAATAAAGGGAATAGTAATAATAAAAGAGCAGTAAACCAGAATAAGAAGACCAGCCATATGAGTTAGAATGGGGGGTGAACACGATTATAATAAAATAAATGTGCGCGAATGTTGAAATTTCTCTGACTCGTTACAGCAGTAATTTGCTGTAAACATGTTTTTGTAGATGAACACATGACAGCCAATTATACAAAGCAAAGCCCAACCATGACAGTCATGAAGTGAATTTATCTGGAAGGTACCAGGAGGAAACTCCCTTCTCTTTTCAAGAGTAACATGCTGGCAGGACTTTAGTCTAACATCTCAGCCTAGGGATAGTCCACAAAGTCCTCTCCCCCACCCACCTCCCCGTTACAAAACAGTGATATGAGACTATGGAGGAACTGAAACGAGCTGTCAGAGATGCATTTCTCCTCATCACTCCATCCATGTTGCAAACGATGTTGCACCAAACATGGTGACGGGTCATTATCTGCCATGAAAATGATGGGACTCACACACACCCATCCTCTGGACATCTAAATGCAGTTAACCACTTGTACTGAATACAATTAAGTACTTCTAAATACAATTATCTCATTCTTCCACATGTTTCGTAGTTAGTCAGTGCACTGTAGAGAAAGAGAAAAAAGCTAACAGGACATTGTAGACATCCTGTACTTTGACAATACAAAGCTGTGTCCCATTATGGTACTCAAGTGTCAGCCTCCGCTGTCAACTTAAAGCTATAGCAGGGCTTGAACCCACAAACGTTTGACCCAGCGATGATAGGGGGTAGAGGTCATAGTTGTGTGAGAAGAGATTTAGGCTGCAAATTTCTGGGTGAGTTGCAGTTTATGAAGGGTGCAGCCAAGGAGGTGATTGAGGAGAGTATTTGAAGAAATCGTACCTGGAGCTAACACTGGTGATGGTAATCAGGTAAGGAGAGGGAAGGGAATGCTCTGGAGGTAGAAGAAAGCATTTGGCATTTTTAATAGTTATTACTATATATTGAAACATGTCAAAGAACTTCACAAGTAATTACTAACAAGTACACTGACATATTTTGGTAGGTAAACAGCTATTTGTGCACAGCTGGAACCTGTATTCAGCCAAGAGGTGAACACCAATTTAATCTGGAGGATTGTTAGCTAGGGCATTGGAAAAATCCTTTTTTTGAACTGTGCTCCCTCACCACTATCCTAAATCCCCTCATTCCTATAACATCCCCTGCAAGTGGAGACTTGTAGCTCAGTGGTTAGAACACTCACCTTGCAAGCGAGACGACTTAGGTTTGATTCCGGGACAGGGCGAAATGTTGGCCAAGTTTCCTTAGTCGACATGCCTCTGTTACCTAGCAGTCAGTCAGAACCTGGGATTAGTCGATTGGTGGATTGCTTTTCCTGTAATAATTCCTTCAAGAAATAATAATAAATTGGTCACTTCAATCCATGACTGTTTGTGGGACATTGCGGTACGCAATTGGCTGCTGCGTTTCGCCCACACAGGGTCACTTTACAGTGTATTCTGTGAAGAGCTTTGAGACATCTCGAAGACACGGTAAGGCGCTATATGAAATGCAAGGGTTATTATTATTAAGTCCCCCAGTTATAATAGGCAACCTTTGCTTGCTAAAGTTTAACTCAGGTTACTAAATGTGGACATGACTCATATATGGCTTCATTGTTGAGTGTGGCCTGAATGGGAGCGTGGCCTGCCCTAGGAGTGTAGGGTGCGCTGGGAGTGTAGGGTGCGCTGGGAGTGTAGGGTGCGCTGGGAGTGTAGGGTGCGCTGGGCGTGTAGGGTGCGCTGGGAGTGTAGGGTGCGCTGGGAATTTCAACATTGGGCTTAAGCTACAACCTGTTGATGCAAAAGTGAAAATGCTATTTACTGAAGTAAAAGAGAAATAAAATCTACATCTTACTACTTATTTCTCTAAGCCGTACCTCTTTTTATTTTTAAGTAGCTGTACCCATTGCAGCTTCGCTTGCAACCAAAGGATCCAATTTGGAATGAAGATTGACACACAGACAGATACACAGACAGACATTTTGTCTTCATCTACACTCAGCTGGGAGGACTCCTTGTTGGGAGGACTCCTTGTTGGGAGGACTCCTTGTTTGGAGGACTAGTGTTGGGAGGACTCCTTGTTTGGAGGACTAGTGTTGGGAGGACTCCTTGTTGGGAGGACTCCTTGTTGGGAGGACTCCTGTGCTAGGACACCTGTTGGAGGACTAGTGTTGGGAGGACTCCTTGTTGGGAGGACTCCTTGTTGGGAGGACTCCTTGTTGGGAGGACTCCTTGTTTGGAGGACTAGTGTTGGGAGGACTCCTTATTTGGAGGACTAGTGTTGGGAGGACTCCTTGTTGGGAGGACTCCTTGTTGGGAGGACTAGTGTTGGGAGGACTCCTTGTTGGGAGGACTCCTTGTTGGGAGGACTCCTTGTTGGGAGGACTCCTTGTTGGGAGGACTCCTTGTTGGGAGGACTAGTGTTGGGAGGACTCCTTGTTGGGAGGACTCCTTGTTGGGAGGACTCCTTGTTGGGAGGACTAGTGTTGGGAGGACTCCTTGTTGGGAGGAGTAGTGTTGGGAGGACTCCATGGAGTGCATACATGTGTGATGAGCTTGTTTAGTTCATAACTTTTCTCTGCACTACTTTGTTGCAGAATATATTGGTATAGATGTATCTCTCTAGAAGAATATGTGATTTCCTCTGTTGCTATTTTGTTGCAGCCTACCTCATATTTTAGGGCTTACTTAAAGCATTTTTTAAATATAGTTCATCAACGATAGGAGATCGCCACCCCAAAAATATGCCCATGACACTCGCCATGCAAGACCTTTCCGATGAGGTATAAATCATGTCTCTATGTCAATCGGTTATTGCGTTCTTGGTGGATAGATGCACAGACAGACATTTCGTTTTTATTAGTATAGAAGAGTGCAAAAGTATCTCATGCTGCATCATTAATCCATTACGTTAACAAGTGCTAGTTTTTGCAAACAGACCAGCTGCTGAGTCATAATGACACCAATTCTGGTGAATAATTGGGAAACATAAAATAATCCAACTTTACAGTGTCTGAAGTCATTTCTCAAGCGTCATCAAAACACTGTTTCCATTTGTGGTTCGTCATTATTATAAATACAGAGTAGCAAAAGCAAAATTCCCAAACAAAATGTTTGATTTTGGGAATTTTTAAAAAGTGTGCAAAATGATGATTAATGAAGCTGCAGTATACATTGTTCATACAATGGGTGATGTGATCATATCATTAATAATCTTGACATAATATCTTTCATAATACCTCAGAGAAAACTAGCTGTCTTGGCCTTTGTAATAAAAATAACTAACGTAAGAACCTTTTCACTGCTAGTGCTGTTGTTTTTGATGTGGAGTTCTGCGGACTAAAGCTGCCCACTGATAGTCTGGCACAATCATCACCTTTTCACTAGTCTGGGGTTGTTTACTGTGTGACTAAGTTGTGGGATCCCTGGCTGTCTCTTCCCATCCGCCTACAGTCTGACCCTGTTGTAACCTCACAGAGTTTTGGACAGCACCAATTCCTGTTCAAAAACTCTGTTGCAATAGTACCATGTTGGCTGATGCCAAAAACATTCGTCCAATACTATGTCTATTAAATGCTAGTTTTCTTTGGTTCTAATGCTTAACGTTTGTGGGGCAGTGGAAAGTACTGGCAGATGTGAACACTGATATGGATTTAGTGTGTCACTGGTTCAGACATTTTTGTTGTACGTATCTTTATTAACCTAATGATAATGAAGAAGAAAAATGTTTACATTCACATTGTTGAGATGTCTCAAAGCCCTTTTTTTGCTGTGAAGTGGAGAGTTCATGTATTTTGAAGGCAAATGTGGCAGCCAATTTGCCCACAAAGTTCCATGAAGTGAGTGGCTACTTTTATTTGGGAGATTGTTGGCCAGGTTACTGGGAAACCTCCCTTCTCTTTTTGAATAGTACCATGGGATCTTTAACCTCCAACTAAACAGGCAGCCAAGATCTCTGTTTAATGTCTCGTCTGAAGATGGCACCTCTGATGATGCTGCCCAACCCTGGCACTGCATTGGAGCATCAACTTAGACTGTGAGTTCTAGGTTTCAATGAGAATCGCCTTTCGAAAGAATTCACCACATTAGCAATGTTGCTTTACAGCTTGGCTCAGCTGGTAGCTCACTCGCCTTTGGGTCAGAAGATAGTAGGATCAAGCCCCATATTTAAAGGCACTTATCAAAAAAAGAAGTGTTTCTTAGCCAACAATCTTACAGATATTTCAGTCATTAGCCTCATGGTTCTTTGAGAGGCTATTGTGTGCAAAATGCTTCCTGCATTTGACTATAAAAAGTCACATCAATTGATGGCAACAAGTGTAAAGTGCTTTGAGAAGAAAACTAGTGCTTTGGTTGTTGGATTGGCCAAGAAACACACAGTCACTACACTTTACAGAAAATACTGTATAAGTGTTTTGAGATGTTTCAATGATGTAGTAAAACATGTATCAAATACTAGGATTATTATGATGAATATTAGATTTTGAAGTTAATGCCAGTGGATATTGAGATGTTTGCAGTTTGAAGTGTAGGTTCATGCCTACACTTGAGTTGGGTTGAAACACACTCTAGAAATGATTTGGCACTTTTAGGAAAGGGGGTCTAGACAGTAAAATGGCAAGGTGGGAGGGAAAATTTTTTTCTCTGGGGAGCTGTTGTTCGCAAGGAGCTGTTTGACAAAAACTACATGTGACATATGAGGAGCGGTGGGTGAAAGAGAAAAAGTACAGAAAAAACAAAACCCAGGGCTCGTAATTTTATCTTCTTGCACAAAAATATACAGTCAATTCACTTTGTATTATATTCTGTGAAGCGCTTTGAGATGTCTAGAAAATGTGATAAGGCGCTATATCAAATGTAAGGGTTATTATTACTTTCAGCCTTAAAACTACAGCATAATAACTCTACTTTGATAAATTTTGAAAGCTGCAATGGACATTGAAAGGATTTCTTAATTAAGGATAATTGCCTTTCAAATCTCAAATCAAGTCTCTTTGATTGTCTGAAATTTACCAAATTGGTCTCCTGTTTCAGAATTGACGCAGCAATAGTTTCGGTAGAACTGCTTTTGAGTTTCATTTGTCTGTAATGTTGTTGTACCATAATGGGTGGTTTCAGAATAAGAATCTGACTTACTGGGAAAGTTGACAAGAATCCGTTTTTAAAGAAGCTAAAGTTTTTTAAAGAAGTTTTTGAAGAAGGGTGGGGATGGAAGAGGGCCCCCAAAAAAGATTTTAAAATGTTGCCTGAACTGGAATCACTGAGCCAGAGTGTAACCTTGGCTTTCTGGTTGCCTCCTCCAAGCCCTACTTCAAAACCTACATCTGACCTTGGTCAAAATTTCTTTTTTCCATCTATGCAACGTTGCCTGCCTGTGCCCTGATCTTACCAGTCTATACCCCTATCTTACCCACTTCGTAATTGAACCCCTTATCCATGTTTTTACTACTTTGACGTTTGTCTTGTGCATTCTTCACTAGCTGGCCTCGCTCCATCCTCCCATCAGGTCCAACTATCCTGTAGTTCTGCAGCCAGTGTCCTTCTCCCAGAAAGGTTACTGACGCAAGAATGAATTCAGCTATTCTTGCCAGATTCCTCTTTGCTCCCGACAGTCAGCAGATCAACTTTGCCTGACCAATGGAAATAAAACACGGTGACTAACTTGCACACAGTAGGGTCCCACAATCATAGGTGAATGACCATTTGATCTAGAGCAGAGGTTCTCTAGCTCGCCTCCCTGGGGAGGCGAGACGTGTGTCAGGGGTGGACCCATTGCATACCTCCCAACAATCCTGGGTTTTACTGGACTGGCAAAGCCACTCCCCCGACCACCACACCCTGCCACAACGCTCCCCACCACAACAATCCCTGTGACAACAGTGAACTGACGTAATCTGTAATCCTTTGGTGTTATGATTTCCTAAAATGTTTGTGCAGTTTTATTTTAGCTACTGCTATTTTACTCGTTTTGAACAGAACTTGAAATAACACAAAAGGTGCTTTATGAAATAAACTTAGTACTTTTGACACTTATTATAACTATATAGATCAAAGTCCTTCTACTTTATTACTAGTATACTTGCAAAGTGTAGGATTTCCAGCTCTTTGTGTTATCTTGGTAATCTAGGTACAGTTGTTTTTCTTAGCTTAATGGGGCTTACTTTGACAAAGTTTGAGAACCTCTCGGAATAAGGTGGGTTTCACTCATACAATAAACATTCAATTCACTTTACAGTATATTCTGTGAAATACACCTTAGGATTTCTTCCCGACATAAAAGACGCAATATGTGGAGTCCCGTAGTGTAGTGATTAGAGCATTTGCCTCGTAAGCGAGAGGACCCGGGTTCGATTCCAGGATGGGACGAAACCTTAGACAAGCTTCCCTACTCCACACGGTAGGAACCCAGTTGTTCGTTGATTGGTGGATCACTTTACAGGGGTAATAATCCCTCAAAACATTTTTGGTCCCTCCATGCTTGTGGGACATTGCTGTGTGCAATTGGCTGCCGCATTTCGCCTACTAAATACAAGGTCAATCCACTTTATAATATATTGTGTGAAGTGCTTTGAGATGTCTCAAAGACTTGATAAGGCGCTAGATCAAATACAAGATTATTATTATTATATAAATGCAGTTTGTTGTTAATATTTTATGCATGCCTGATGTCAGTGCACCTTGATATTTATATGGTTACTATCTGTCTGCTTTAAAATAATTTTTTACACTTTTTAATTTAAAAAAATCCAGCCTCATTCCTTGTGCGATTAGGCCCCTGCACTCTCATACGTGAAGAAAATTAGTTCAGTGACTACTCTAGAGGCACCAAGAGTTTTGTTTGAAACTATTATTGAACAAAATAAGTTTTGTGGTTTGATCTGCACTGTGTCTGACCACATCTGTGAATGTGTCATTGCCACCTACTGAAGGCACAAACTTGTAACAAAGCTGAAACTAATGAATTATGTTCCTTATTTTAGTAATTTTTAACAGCCTAAAATGTATCTCTATCTGGCGTTGCAAAATATCTGAACTTGCATGTTGTCCATGAGTTTGGTTTTGTGATTGTTGATGGGGCACCAATGATTGCTTCAACAACAACAAATGACATTTGTATAGTGCCTTTCACCCTCCCCGACCCTGACCCTCCGCTCAGGTCTGAAGCACTGATTGTCCAGCGCCTTGGGACATCCTCCAAATGTGAAAGGCGCTATACAAATGTAATTTTGTTGTTGTTCATGTCGAGGGGACTGTCCTAGGCGCTGGACAGCACATTTCATTTTTTTATTGTTGTTGATACAAGTACCCAGTTCATTACTATTAATTTACCCAATCATACTGTATTAATCTTGTACAAATACATTTTATGAAACAAGTAACCTAAAAAGGGACAATAATAATTATTATATTTGATATATTAATAATCCTTGCATTTGATATAACGCCCATCACGTCTTCGAGTCGTCTCAAAAAGCTTCACAGGATATATTGTAAAGTGAATTGATGGTATTTTGTGGGCAAAATGAGGCGGCCAATTGCGCACAACAGTGTCTCGCAATCAGTCGTGGATTGAGTGACCAAATTAAAAAAAAAATTTTTTGAGGGTTTATCACCCCCGGAAAGCAATCCACCAATCGACCAACAACCGGGTTCCTACTTACTGCTTAGGTAAACAGAGGCGTGTGGGGAAGGAAACTTGCACAAGGTTTTGCCCCGCTCTGTGGTTCTCGACAGCGCAAAAAAAAAGGATGGGAACAGAGATAAAATCCTTTTTATATATGTCTATCTCTCTATACTATGTATACATATATATATATGGTTATTAAGTACATCAACCAAAGGCCAGGAAGAATGAAATGAGCAATGCCGTGGTTAGTGAATAGAATACAGATGACTGACAGAGTATATGTGTGGCCAGCCGCGCAGCTCTCACGATTTTTAACTTAAAAAAGGGCAACATTTTCCTTATCTAATGAAATGCTATACACCTTGCACTATAGAGCCTTATCACGTCATTGAGATGTCTCAAAGTGCTTCATAGGATGTACTGAATCATAGAATCTTACAGCACAGAAGGAGGCCATTCGGCCCATCGTGCCTGGGCCGGCTCTTTGGAAGATCTTTCCAATCAGTCCCACTCCCCCACTCTTTCCCCATATCCTTGCAATTTTTTCCTCTTCAGGTACCTATCCAATTACCTTTCGAATGTTGTTATGGAAACTGTTGTCACTGCCCTTTCAAGCAGTGCATTCCAGACCATAACTACTCTCTGTGTAAACAAAATTCTCCTCATCTCCCCTCTGGTTCTTTTGCCAATTATGTTGAATCTATGTCCCCTGGTCACCGACCCACCTGCCAGTGGATTCAGTTTCTCCTTATCTGCTCTTATCAAAACCCCTCAATTTTGAACACTTCTATTAAATCTCTCTTTAACCTTCTCTGCTCTGAGGAGAACAATCCCAGATTCTCTCGTCTCTCCACATAACGAAAGTCCCTCATTCCTGGTACCATTCTGGTAAATCTGACGCATCATAATCCCGTCTGGCAACTTGCGCCTGCTGCTCACCAACTTTATATGTCACGCTCCGTACATTTACACACATCACTCTAAAACTGCAGTTGTCTGCACTTCTCGCTGAATGATCCTTCCTGTTTATGGACGACTCTTTATTCCAAAGTTATTTATCTCTCCCAGGCCTCTATGTTCCTTGCTTCTCCTCCCTGATTCTACTTCCTCTCCCCCCACCCTCTTCCTCCATTGTAAAGTGAATTGACTGTATATTTTGTGGTCGAAATAATTTGCAAGTTAGCAAGTTGTGGTTTCAAGCCCCACATTGGGACTTGGAACTTGCATAGTCTTAAGACAACACATCAATGCATTGTTGGCGGGAGCACTGCATTATTGGAGATGCTGTCCTTCGGATGAAAATACGATCCAAACTTAACTCAATCAGCAACCTTTGAGACTGTGCTGTAACATCTGGATCAAAAAAATAAATCAGTACTTGCTTAGTGATATCCAATTGTATGCTTGCAAATATATGCAATACACTTTACAGTATCTCCTGTAAAGTGCTTGAGATGCCCTTGGACATGAAATGAAATGTAAGGAATATTATTAACTAATCTGACATTTTTTGAATTTGGGCTTTGAATTGAATCATTGTTTCCAAGTCGGAAAGGGAGATGATCAGTTGAATGCCAGTCTGTAGGAATGGTTGACAAAATATGATGTTTGGTAACATTGTTATATCAAGTGTATTGTATTCTAAAATATAATGTGCTTCATGTGCAAAAGAAAGTTTCACAGTACTGTAATCATTTACACCAGTCCAATAACAGGATGATGCAGAATGATTTGCACCTAACTTTCTAAAGGGCAATGTGTCCAACATCATATTGCAAGTATTTGTTTGAAATTCAGATTTCTAAATGAAAAATTTGGTTGAAGACTCAGTTTCTGACGTCGTTGTGGGTGTGAAGCAGACATGAGGTTGGTAGTTTAGTAGCTGTGAAACAAATGTTAGGTTATCAGAAAGATTGTACCAGATGTTAGGGTAACATTTACCCTCACTCTTATTTCAAAATATTTGAACCAACATTTACATTTGCATGTCTTACAAGATTTAGGAGTCAAAATTGCAGATCAGTCACTGGGGATATCCCACTTAATTCCTGTTAACCTTACAAGCCAAAGATTGATGTCGTTGAGTTCTGACGAAGATCTGTTGAGTTCTGACGTATGGTCGTGGACCCGAAACGTTGACTCACTTTCCTTTCTCCATAAATGCTGCCTGACCTGCTGAGTGTTCCCAGAGACTTCTGTTTTTGTTTCCGATTTCCAGCATCTGCAGTATTTTGCGTTTTGTTCTCACAGTTAATGTTGCATTTTCTTTACATGTTTTGATGAAAGTTGTTTATTGGACTCCAACATTTGTTTAACTTTAAAATTCTGTGTTTCAAATTATTTTTAGGCTGGTATCTAATATTTGCATTTGGTATCGCACCTTTCGTGCCAGGAGGACATCTCAAAGTGCTTCACACGATTTACTGTAAAATGTAATATCTGTATTCGGTAGGCAAACATGGCATCCAATTTGCATCTAATTTAGTGTTTAACATGGCAGAGGCATTTTCATAACTTTAGGCTGTAGACTATTATTCAGAATGTTGGAAAATTCATAAATGTTATGTACAATCTGATTTGGTTAGAGCTCTCGCCTCGGAAATGAGAGGACCTGGGTTCGATTTCTAGGCAGCGCGAAACCTTAGATAAGTTTCCTTACTCCACCTGCCTCTGAATGTAAGTCGATTAGCGGATCGCTTTCTCGGGGTAATAATCCCTTCAATTATTTTTTTAAAAATAATAATTTGATCTTTCACTCCACGACTGTTTATGGGACACTGCTGTGCACAATTGGCTGCCAGGTTTCGCCCACAAAAAATATGTAATCGTTTTACTTTACAGTATATTCTGTGGAGTGCTTTGAGACTCTAGAAGACTTGATAAGGCGCTATATCAAATTCAAGGATTATTATCATAATCTTTATTACTGCTACTTCATCTGAACAGGATGATGATTCTAAAACATATTTTCTCCTTTCCCCAGCTGATCGGGATCAGCAGCAAGATGTTGCAGGTGCCGTGGGTCGGCCTCGTCCTCTCAATGAGGATCGGGCAGCAGGCATGCCCAGGGTGAGGCGGAACATGAGAAACAGATTCCTGGCACGGAGAGCTCAGGAAGCTGAAGTGGAGCGTGAAGGTAATGGATCTTTTTTTTCAGATAAAAATAACGTAGTGGTATATGTTTTTAACATTTCTGGAAGTTAAAGTTTGTCTATATCGGAAAGAAACCCATCCATGGGGTCCTTTACCATTTCGATTAGACAACTCACAGCGCAAGCGAGGGGACCTGGGTTTGATTCCCGGACTGGGCAAAATGTTAGGAAAATTTTCTGCACAGTCAAGCGCCCTGGAATTCTACCCTGTGTGAAGGGCCCTATATAAATCCAAGTTGTTATTGTTATCACCCTTTATTATTAATCCCACTGTCTGGTCCAGTGCTTATCCAATTCCCTTTTGAATGATTCTACAGATTTGAATGTGAATGATTGTTGCACAAATGGACTGGACGCTGGTTACCAGCCGGTCAGGGTGGCTGAGGGTTCATTGTTGGGCCTCTGCTGGTTACAACATACATTGATGTGGATGTAGCAACAGAAAACAATTTCGAAACAAATTTGCTGGTGATACTGAATTGGATAGAGTTATTCATAAAAGGGAAGGAGCGGACAGAATACAGAGGGATTTAGAGAAACTGGGTAGCAGTTCTGAGAAGTGACAGATATAACATAAGAAAGGTTCTGATATTGGGATATGACAGTAAGCTTTTTTTTTGACAGTGGAGTCCTGTAGCTCAGTGGTTAGAGCATTCGCTATGTAAGCGAGAGACCTGAGTTCAATTCCAGGCAGAGGGCGAAACCTTGGGCAAGTTTCCTTACTCCACACAGAGCCTAATAATAATCCCTCCAAAAACAATAATAAATTGGTCATTTTCAATCTACGACTGTTTGTGGGACATTGCTGTGCGCAATTGGCTGCCGCGTTCGCCCACAAATATACAGTCAATTCACTTTACAGTGTGTTCTGTGAAGCGCTTTGGGACGTCCTTCCGACGTGAAAAGCGCTATATCAAATGCAAGGATTATTATTATTATAGTAAGAAGTTAAATGAAAATAAATTTTGGCAATGTAAACTAAATGGTATATGCAATACAATTTACAGTACAATATAGCGCCCTTTACATGGCTCCTGTAACCTCATGAAGGTGGAGTGCTGTTCATAGTCCATCCTTATAGTTAACTGGCGACAGGGAGAGAGGCAAAATGTTTTGCCAAAGGGCAGGAACATTGGAGGACAAATTAATGCAGACTGCTTTTGAGCAATCAGCAGTCAGTGCAGTTATCAGTCACAGACCAGCAGCGGCAGATGACTGATAGCATTTTGTCTACCATGTCTGTCTACCACTGACTGCTACATGTTGCGAGGGAGATAAGAGGGATACAAATTAATTTTAAATCGGGGGAGAAGAAACCTTGTGTTTTTGAAACAAAATACTGTACCTTTAAACAGAATCATTAACGAAGAATGAAACTGAATGCCAAAACACAACTTCCCACCAGCTGTAAGTCTAGGGCCAGCTTAGCTCAGTTGGTCATCAAACTTAAAAAAAAAGTAGAAATCTATATTGGAAAGAATTTTTTTTTAATTTTACATGACATATTTAACATGTTCCATTTTAGAGGAATGAAAAAAAAACACTATTGACTGAGGAATGTGATATCTGCAGGGTATAATAAAACACCTAATGTGAGGTGGCGTGATCAGAGGGAGTCTGAAACTGAATGTCAAAATAGAACTTCCCACCAGCTATAAGTCTTGGGTCTGCTTAGCCCAGCTGTTAGGACTCTCACCTCTGGGTAAGAAGGTGGTGAGTTCAAGTTCCACGTGTTTCAAACAACCAGGCTGTTATTTCAATGCAATGTCCATACAAAAGTTAATCCTGTATCTGCACTTTGTTGTCAGTGGACCTTTTTGAGTGCAAAATGGCTGGCTTGTTTGCTGACAAAAAGCAGCCATCAATTACTGTAAAGCGCTTGAAGTTCACACGCATCAGTTCAGTGGAATAGAGCGAGTGGTGAATTACTGTTTGATTTCACAATTGACAGCGTTAATTCTGAGCGTGGTGCTGGGCTGTCTCGGCGAGCGGTAATTTTAACATATATTTTCCAGTGGCAGACTATTGTTAATGCCTCAGGCTGTAGGTTGAGAGAACAAATGATCGCGTGGAATTGCTGAGTAACGAATCTCCACTGCTGCGTTTTATTGCATCAGCAACAATTCTAAGCAACTATTAACGGTTCACAAAACAAGGTCACACAACTTGACTGCAGTCACATCAGTGCTCATACTCAGCCAACTGGAAACAGCAGTGGGTAGCTGTTAGCTAAGGAAATATTTACTTAACAACATTATTATTCAGAAAAATAATTTGACCCTTCTGCTTACTTTTGGACATTTTTAAAAGATCTGCTTCCAGTTCTTGATTGTACATTTCAAGAGTACTTCATTTCCTTTTTTTTAGTCGGTAACTTTAGCATTTTCCCACATCACAACCTACCCATTTTCATAACGTGTGGGCTTGCGATCTTTACTGTACAGCGTGCAACAAAACCATTTCTTAATTACGATATTAAGGTGTGCTGCGCTATAAAGTTGTATGGACGTAGATGGCTCATTGATTTTTTCCTTAGTCTCTTTATCCAGACTAAAATTACAAATGCTAGTTTTAAATTCTTGAGTTACTGTGCTGAATTGATTCCTATCCAAAATGAGGAAAGAAAGAACTTGCATTTTTATAGCACCCGATCACATCTAAACTTCTCAAAGCACTTCATGGTGATCAGCGTCAAGCGTAGTATTGTGAGATATTTAATATTCACTTGTACAACAGCCAAATTGGATTTTAGATTAAAATCTCATCTGAAGAACAAAGCAGGACTCTCCCATTACTGCACTGGAGCGTAAGGTTAGACTTGAAGCTGCAACCTTTTAACCCATTGATACCATATGAGCCATCAGGCACCAAAGTGATTAATGATCGAAAATAAAGAGTTTACCATTCTTGTAGTTTGAAGACTGGGTAGCTTTGATTAAGAGGGTGTATCTCTAATAGATCACCAAAAACTGTACATTTTTATAAGTACAGTTCTGTTAGTTCATGCTGGCATCACAAACAGCCTTTTTGGCAACCTGAATCACAGATTTAAAATACTGAGAACCCACTCATTATCTTTTCCTCTGTTCCTACCTCCTTCTCCACTGTAAAACTAAATATTTTCCATTGGTCAAATTAGAAAGTTTTATTGACCTTGTGGAAGCATCTTCTCTGCCTGCTATCCGCCAAACAAATTAGATGTAGGTAGATTTCTATTGATTTAGCCATTCTTATAAAGCCTCTGCCTACACAGAGATAAGTATTTTTGGAGCACGACACTTGGCAGGAATGGCTCCCGATTTTACTGAAAGACACTACCTGCATGAGCTGTGCCATCACTGCAGTGGGTCCCCAGGAATTAACAAAGGCCTTATAGGCACTTGAGTGCAAGCGAAAACGGGAGCTCTTCTGCCCGGCACAAGCGCAGACACTGCTACTTTCTTCCTTTGCCAGGTGAATTCCGCGCTTTGATTCGGCGCACGGCAGGATAGCCGTGAAGCCTGGAGGAAAAAAGCCAGCACCACCACCAAGATGTTGGTGAGTGCGTTAGTAATTCCCTGCCATCTACCAGGCCAGCTGCTCTTATCCTGAGCCTGGCGGCCAGGGTTTGGATGATACAGATATAGGATGGTGGGGCCGTGCCTTTGTGCATTGTTTTATACCTTTGGTGTTGGTGCCCCTTTTTTCCATTAAAATCCTGAGCCCTTTCGGTGAGCCAGTCTGCTTCTGGTCCCTGTATTGTGGGTTGCCAATCTGTCCTGCTTCAGAAAAATGAGTTGCCTTAGCACTTCAGTGCAGTCACATAAAATGCTCCATTTCAGTTTGTGTGATGATGCTCAGTGAAGAACTTCAGCTATATTTCAACAATTGGGTCACAACATTTATTGCTCTCTTAACCTGCATAAAATGGAGCTGAATTTGTGACAACAACAGACATTTATAAAGCACCTTCCACGTGGGATGAAAGTCTTAAAAGCAATTTGCGTAGATTTCTATTCCGACTAGAAATAAAAATCCCTTCTAGTTACTGTATGAGCAAACGGCTTTGAATTACTGCTGTAGTAGATTTATGCTCAGATTGTTCTGATGCAATAGATAAACAGATATAAGGGATGACTGCAGCAGGAGAAATATTTTTTTNACAATGGAAGATAACTGCTGACTATTCTAGACGGTTTGTGAGGTTTCAACCCATAAACCTTGCTGTAAGGTGAATGATGCTATTTTAAAAAGTTTTGAAATTTGTTCTAAAGCTATGCACCTTTTTTTGCTCTTCTGATCTGAGGATGTTAGTGTAATTGTATTAATCTAACATTCATTTGAGTCCCAAAATTGTTGTTTTCGGATGTGCGCAATCTTCCAGTTTGATACTTGCATCACGCTTGTTTTGTTTTCTGTCCGATGCGTAGCTGCTGAAACTGAAACAGGAACGGATGATCCGGAACTTCCAACCCAAGGCAAAATTGGAGCCAAGAAGCAGCGAAAATTAGATGAGAAAGAACAGCGAAGAGCACAAAGAGAGGTTAAAGCACTCATTTATAATGATGCTGTATGATTTATAAGTAGGAAGGGGGAATCTTAGACAAAGAAATGTCCCAGAAAGAGCTGTGAAATGAATCATACAGTTGAACTGGAGGAATGCTGGCCAGGATGATCCTAGTATGAGCACACTGGACATAATCATTGATTATTTGGGGGGTCAGCTGGTTGTCAGACACATGTGGAAACCCTTCACCATGCTTAAGAGTATCCAAACTAAACAGTTCCAGGCATCCCACCTTCGCATGGAAAATCCAGAGATAGATTGTTGGAATGGAATGCGCACTCTCTTCCTGAAAGGACTCATCCTGCTTACCTAATTCCAGAAAGTATTAGGCGCAGGTTAGCAAGAGCCAAGGCTTGGGGACCCTAGAGTGTGAAATGGGGTGCTGCTGAAACCACATACCTTTCCAGCTGCTTATCCAGTTAGGTCCATCCGTTAGAAGGCTGGCTCAATCTGATATTCTGTTGCCAAACATGTTATTTTACAGCCAGTTCAGCTTTAAGGAGACCCCGCTTACCTACACAGTTATTGAGAGGGAGGACATTTCAGTATTTAAATGAGATAGTCATTTTATAAAGTGGTTTAAGTATATCAACACCTATGTGCATGCTACATATAGGGGGGCAAAGACAGATTAACAGGGTGACGGCTCGATGGTGACAGGCTATTTCCTGATTAAATGCTTCTCTGCTGAGTGTTCTGGTATGAAATTTTATGGATAATTGGTTAACATAGATTTAGAAAGTGCCACATGCTTCCTGCTGAAGGAATTCCCCTTCAAATTTGTATATAGGAGATACTGTCTGGGTTACAATTCGCCCTCAAAATACACTTTACAATATACTTTGTGAAGCACTTTGAGACATCTCAAATGCAAGGATATTATTAATATTATCACCACAATTGAAAACCGTTCAAAACCCCAGGGTCTAGCTGTGAAATACTCTGAATCTAAATTAATTAATTCAACACTGAAGCTAATTTGTGCTGTATTCTCACCTGCAGGTAGAGGAAGCAGAGCGAGAAGAACGCAAGAAATTGCAGGCCATAAAAGATGAAGAACGGAAGAAAGATGAAGAACGCATGCGAGTTCAAGAACAGAAAAAGGTGAGACAGTTGGCTTGTTTCAACAAACTGTTTCAAAACCTTCAGTCCCGATTGTCAATGCCCCATTTCTCTTCATGTTTGGCAAAAGATATGTTGATTCCAGACAGAAACTTCTTTGGCCCAAGAATTCTCATCTTCTTAGCTTTATTAAGACCATTGTTTCAAACCATAATGTCATGTGGAATTTGGGGAAACCGAAGTGAGAGGGAATACTGAGGAAACTTAGGAACGTGGAAAAATAGGAACAGGTTTTACAGCCTATCGACCCTGACCCACCAGTTTATTAGATTTTGGTAGATTTTAATCCCCGTCACCATATCCCTAAATTCCTGTGCTGCACCAAACATACATTGATCTTTATAGCCTAACTCAAACGGCTGGGAAATTTGGTATCAGTGGAGGTTTTCTGCCACGTACAAAATTCAAGAAGTGATGAAAGATTCAAAACAAGGACAGCAAAAGAGAACAGGAAATGCAGATTTCTTTTGATAGAAGGGCAATAACCGTATGTAACGAATTACCACACAGCACATGTGTGGAACAAGAATTTTTTTACGTGTTGTTAAAAGGAACTAGATAATTTCCTGTCAACTAAAAGGATTCAAAGTTGTTAGTTTGGAGATAAATATATCCAAAGAATCTTATAAGAAATTTGATGGTTAGCCCAGAAGGACCAATGTTTGTCTCCTGACTGAATTTTTTACAATGTTTGTGCTTATATTCCCCTTAAAATTTCCAGACTAACAGGGTAAGTTAAGGGGACAAAGGAGGGAAAACTGAATGGGGAACTATCCTGAGGTGCTAGGACGATAGTAATGTTCTGCTTACGCTCTCCAAACAAGTGTCTTAAAAACAGTATTGACCAAGGTTCGGGTTGTCTCGTTTAGGAGTGGAGTGTCCACAACATATTGTTAAACAATCAGAAAGTAGGGAGGGAAGAAAATGAAGGATAGCATTGTAAAATCTAACTGCAAGATTTGATAATGGGGGAGGGTGAGCTCTTAAGTAATTTCTCAATCTGAATTATAATAATTTTTGCCTTTGACGGAGCCCTTATAAAACTGAAATCTCTCAATCTCTCTCTCCTGGTCTCTATCTCTTATTCTCTCTCTCTGTGTTTCTCACATGGGAGGACTCTAGTTCCCATAACAACCAGAATATATATATGTTGCAGAATATAGATGTATCTCTCTGAAGTGTATGCTTTCCTCTGTCACTACGTAGTTGCAGAATATGATGCATACCTCATATTTTGGGGCTTAATTAAAGCATTTTTTTATGTAGCTCATCAACGATAGGAGATACCCCCCCCCGCAAATACATATGCCCATGACACTGTCAGATGCACGATCTTTACAATGAGGTATAAATCATGTCTCGACGTCAATTGGTTATTGCATGGTTATCAGATACACTGACGCACAGACAGACAGAATATTGTTGTTTTATTAGTATAGATTAGCAGATTGTTCTTTTCATATTTTTGATGACTTCGGTTTACTTCTCAAAGTATATTGGCATTTAAACCATAAGTTAGTTTTCCGAGTAGCTTTTTTAAAAAAATGAAAGCGTATTAAAAAAGTAGCAAGATACTGCCAAACTCGTCTCTTATCAGTTAAGTTGATGTCACAAAAATCTGAAATCCTTTTCTTGAAGGAGGTTTGTTGCAAAAGTTAAATGTTACCTTTTACAGTTTCTTATGTGACTGTTAGCGGGGGCAGGCAATACCCATAACTTTGCAACTGCCACAAATGGTATGATATAATGAGTGGGTGGTGTGTAATCTCCTGAGCTGAAATATGTAAGTGAGCAGTAATATTTCCAACTACCCCAGTGACCCAACTTCGAACAACCCAACATGGAACCATCCACTGAGGGAGTTTCTATTGTGACTGAAGTTAAGTTATTAAGGCATTTTGATGATTCTTGTAAGAAAATCTGTGAAACAGAGAGGATACTAGTCGTCTTATTAAGAAATATCCACAGTGCAGAAACTACTATTTTTATTGGAAAAGTGCAGCAGTTTATACCTTTTTTTTAAGTGGATACACAATGCCCTCTGCAATGAACCATAGAAATTTATAACACAGAAGAAGGCCATTCAGCCTCTCGTGTCTGTGTTGTTAAAGAGCAATTTCAGTTCAATTTACCTGCCTTTTCTCCATACCCTGTAGCACACTCCTTTTTAGATATCTGCCTAGTTCTCTTTTGAAAGGTAATATGGATTCTGCCTCAACCCTGCTTCCACCAGGGCATTCACATCCTTTCAACAGCTGTGCAGGAAAATAAAATCTCCTAAACTCACCATTTGCTCCTTTGCAAACTATCCAAAGTAATAGCATATTTGCTAGCTTCCTTTTTTTTAGCTTCTTTTCATTTTGGTTTGTGAAAGAAATTGATCTTTGTCTTTAGGAACATGTGATTGATTTGACAGGAACACTCTTAATTTATCAATTCACAGTGTGTTTTGATGTAAAACACTGACTTGCTGTATCATGAGGATTAGGCACTTTCAATAAAATCTTTATGGTTTGTTTGTCCTCCTTTTTAAAATTGTGGTTACTTCCTGCCATGTGACACAAGAGTGCACAGTACCACTTGATAATAGCAAGGATAACTAAAGGTACAAATACCAATCGTAAATGAACAATTAGAAAATGCCAATGGATAAAGGTGTAGGGGGAGATTGAAAACATTGATATGTTGAAGACATTTTTGTGAAATGTGTTCAGAGTTGCAGTACATGTAAGTGGTTAACTTGACTGTATAAACTGGTGGAGTTTCACTGTCATTTTAGATCATCCCAAACCCTCCAATGTGTATTAGATTTAGAAGGCTGCACACCATCTTTTCTTCTTTCCTTTGGACATCAAACTTTAATTGTTGGCCTTTCGTTGATCATTTATTGAAATATACTCATAAAATCTGTGTGTTAGGCTAGTAGTCTCTGTGTATGCTATAAGCTATATGTTGCTTATTGTGGCCACATGTGTGACAGTAATAGGAATGTACAGGACTGGAAAAGACCATAGCAGTCCTACTGGAGATTCCTAAACATAAAAAGAGTGTTAAAAGTAACATTTACAATGTAGTGCTCCTACAGCATTGTATTGGAGTGTCAGCTTAGTCTTTTAGTTCAGAGTCCTGGCATGAGGCTTGAACCCACACCATTCTGACACTGAGACGAGAGTGCTGCAGACTGAGCTAGGCTGGCATCCAAGGTAGAAGTGAAATGGAAATATCTGTCTCCTTCCCATCTCCTATGGATATCAATGCACAGCACAAAAGTGCACCATTGTCAGCTGTTTCAATCGGGGTTGGTTGAACTTGTAAAGTGTGGAAATGTCACGCGATACAGCGTGGAATGTTCTGAGGTATAAAATTGGCAGAGCACAGCAGCACCTGAGAATGGTTAGTAATTGTACCAAATGAGTAAATTGCATTATTCATTCACACCTCCACTCAATCAGTATTCTCATTTCCTGAACATTTTTCTTTCTCCATTAAAAATGTATTTTATATCAGTTACTAAATTTCTGTTGGGTTTTTTGTATGATGGGGATTTATTGCTTTATTTTGATTTTTAAAAATTCAGTTGCATTTTTTTAACTCTTGAATTGCTTAGGGCAGCGCATTACTCAGAAAATCCTTTGTTTCGATTTGGTGGTTTTGCTATGTACTTCTGCACCATCTGCTGAACGATGTTGGACTCGTGATGGTTTGCAGTCTTCCTGTTACGATTGCAGAAGAATTGCAAATCCTCTTTTCTAATCCACATTTGCTGCTTCAACAACCGATTTATCTCCTCCACCCCACCCCCCATCCCTCTTTGCACATCATTAGTCATATCCTGGAGTCACAGATGGGGACATTGGGTTAAGAAATGTATCGTGGACTGGGAGAGAACTTATGCTGAAAAAAAATCCTTGCATTTGATATTATCACATCTTTGAGACGTCTCATAGCGCTTCACAGAATACACTGTAAATACACTGTAAATATATACTGTATATTTTGTGGGTGAAACGCGGCAACCAGTTGAGCACAGCAGTGTCCCACAAACAGTCGTGGATTGAGTAACCAAATTATTATGTTTTTAATAGTTATTGTAGTTTAATAGTTAAATTACAAAATTACAAGTCTGTTAATGAGATACGGCTTGGTGCAATGTAGCTGCCAAACTTTATTTGAATTTGACTTTTGTTTCAAATGCAGCTGTAAGAAGACAACCAAAGTCTATTTCTCTTATAATAACCAAAAAGTATAACACCATTTTTGGTCCTTTGATTAAGCAAATTTTAAAGCAGCATTACCCTGCTCTTATCATTCTTTACTGTATTTGAAGAGAGTTTCTCCCGGTTCCTGGCCAACAACGCCCCCAAATAAAATTGTTCATTTACTTTATGACTGTTTGTGGGACACTGCTATGCACAAATTGGCTGCTGCGTTTGCCTACAAAATACACAGTAACTACACTGTACACTGCATCTTGTGAAGCGATTTGAGACGTCCTCCTGATGTGAAAGGCGCTACATCAAATGCAGAGATGATTATTATTTTTTCTATTGACATTTATTTCGTTTCTAGTTTACTCTTTTTAAACAAAATACAAAGGATTTTTTTTAAGACCCTTAGATTTGCAATCTGTTCAGTTTTTATGGTATCTCTTCCCCCCCACCCCCACCCCCACACACACGCACACATCACCACAGAAATACTCTTTGTCAGATGTGGCAAAGTTTCTGGTAGCCACAAATCACCCAAATGGCTGCAAGTCTTTTTTTTAAATAATCGAACATTCTTAGGCTTGAATTTTTTTTAAGAACAGGAGCTGCATGTATTTATAGTGAGTAACCTGACTTTAAAATAGCAATGCACGTTATCTGAAGTATTGGTTAGAGCTCTCGCCAGCAGGGAGAGGACTCAGGTTTGATTCCCGGGCAGGGAGAAACCTTGGGCAAGTTTCCTTACTCCACACCTCTCTTGTTTACCTAGTAGTAAGTAGGAACCCGTTTTAATTGATTGGCAGATCGCTTTCTGGAGGTAATAATCCCTTCAACAAATTTTTTAAAAAATAATAATTTATTCACTGAATATAGTCAATTCACTTCACAGTATATTCTGTGAAGTGCTTTAAGACTTCTCAATATCTTGATAAGGTGCTATATCAAATGCAAGGATTAATATTATTATCTGGGGGTGTTTAACGCACATAGAAAAAATACAGCACTTTCTGAAGCAGAAAGATTCCTGGAAGAATTTTAAAAGTCGCGCTTCTCACAGAACCAACGCAATGCACTCCATCTACAAGTAACTGAAACACAGTTTGTAAAATTCTTCTAGAAATGCTTCTGCTTAAAAAAGTGCTGATTGTCTTTTGCTACCCGCTTTAGTCCCGCCCAAATAGTGGGCAGTGCTATTTTAATGTAAGGTCACTGAGTAGAAGTACATGCATCTCTTAACTTGTTTTTTTATAAAAATGCGTACAACCCCCATATTGTTCAGTCATTTAAAAAAAAATAAAACCTCGCTTGGCATGTGTCATGAAAGCTGCACTTTTGGGGATGAAAAGGGACTTCCCACTACTAATTATATAGGAAGCACAGTTATGCAAATCGTGGAGCTTGCTTCCTATATAAGAGTGTTATATCTTCATTAAAAAAAACATAACTGCTGAACATGATATGCATCTGCACGATGCATTGCTTGCTTAAGAACTCTTCTGTCAACTGACACTTTGTTTTATTTTCTGTGCACAAACAGAAAAACAGAAAAATACACAAAAAATGTAACGCCTAAGTTTTTTTCACACTCTTTAAACAAAATTTTTTTTAAGGAAGAAGAATTAAGAAAAACCCGTGAAGAAAAAGAGCGTAGAGACCATGAAGAGTACCTGAGGCTGAAAGAATCCTTTGTCATCGAAGCGGAAGGACAGGATGAACTAATGATGGAACATGAGGTAACCAGTTGCTCGGAGCTATTGAAATGTTTGATAAACATAGTACAATTGTTCATTGGCTCTCATCGGTTCCTTTTTTAATGATAGCAATGTTAATACCTGGTTATTCATATGTCCTTTTGCTAAAGATCAATGTTTTATTGGGAAAGGAATGGAGCATCATTGAGGTTTGGCAAACTGGAAATTTGGATATTGCATTTAGTTAATGATAAACTGATCAGCCATGAAAATAACTTCACCTGCACTTTAACAACAACAACAAATTGCAATTATATAGCGCCTTTCACTTCAGGAGGATGACCCAAGGTGCTGGATAATCACAGGTTTGCACCCGACCTCTGTGATCAGAGACGGCGTGAGGAAAAGGGGATGGAGAAAGGAAGATGACTAAAGGCACAATCGAAAAGAAAGATCTTGAGATGGGTTTTGAAGGAGGCAAGGAAGGGGCAAGGTGGAGGGGCTCTAGGATGGAGTTCTAGAGGGTGGCGGCAGAAAAGCTGAAGGTCTGACCGCTGATAGTGGAGCAGACCAGTGCTTGCTGAGCGGAAGGCGAGGACAGGTTGGTGAAGTTTTGAAAGATCACAGAGATAGGGAGGAGCAAAACTGTAGAGGGCTTTAAAGATGAGGACAGGGATCTTGAACTCGATCCTCTGGGGTTCTCCCAATCCATTGTAGGTGAAAGAACCCATGCCACTGGCTAGTTAATTGTGTATTTTTACTGAATAGAAATTTCCTCTGTCTAAGGAACTCTCTGTATAAAATACTGTTTCATTAGAATGCCTTAAAACTCAAATCTTATATCTCCATCTTAACTTTGGCGGGTAGCTTTTCAACCACGTTGCCCCACTCTCTGGAACACGCTCCCTAATGCTCTCTGCCTTTACCCATCCTCTCTGCTTTCAGAACTCTTCTAACAACCTATCTCATTGACTGCACTTTCGGACACCTCTGCCATATCCCCTTCCCCATGTTCCACCCTGCCAGACATTTCAGACACCCTCCGTCTCTGAACACTTTCGAGACATCTTACTATGTAAAAGGTCCTATGTAAACGCAAGCTATTTTCTTCATCTTGATGAAGAAGCCGTGGTGAAGCCAGCAGCCGTGCTTTCAGTCACTACTCCCCAAAGCTTTTGAATTCTCTGACTGTATATTTTGTGGGCGAAACACGGCAGCCAATTGCGCACAGCAGTGTCCCACAAACAGCAATGGATTGAGTGACCAAATTATTGTTTTTTTTCTTGAGGGATTATCATCAGACATGTAGAGTAAGGAAACTTGCCCAAGGTTTTGCCCTGCCAGGAATCAAACCTAGATCTCTTGCATGCGAGGCGAGTGCTCTAATCACTGAGCTACAGGACTTCTAGAAGACGTAATAAGGATTATCAAAATGCAAGGATTATTATTATTGAATCTTTGAGTGTGGCAGCATTATTTCTGTGCCTTTTATTAAAAAAAACTAAGCATCAGCATTCATTTCACATTCAAATCTTGCATTGAATTAATCTCCACAGACATCGCTTGTAATGCAGGATGACTGTGTGTGAAACCAGTGCAGAAAAAGTAGCTGAGCTGCAGAAAAAATGCAGTATTTTAAAATAAAGTTGAAGAAATAATGCTGTTTAAACTTCTTCAGGGAGTTTGATTCCATGCAGTGAATAAATACTTGTTTCCATCTATAAAATATTTATATTAATTAATTGTTTAAAATGGGAAATATAATGTAATTAATGTATTGTCTCATCTGACAAGATATTAAATAATACTGGAGTGAGGTCCCAGAGCGAAGTGATTAGCGCACTCGCCTAGCAAGCAAGATGACCCGGGTTTGATTCCGTAGGCAAGTTTCTGTACTCCACATGCCTCTGTTGTACCAGTAAGTAGGAACCCGTCTTTTAGTCGAGTGGCGGATCGCTTTCCAGGGGTATTAATCCTCACCCCCCCCCCCCCAACTTCCCCCCAAAATTGGTTACTTAATCCACAACTGTTTGTGGGACACCCCTGTGCGCACTTCTCTGCAGATTCAGTGATCAGTGCCGAATTGCAAAGAGAGACAACGCAGCTTTCTTACTGAATAATCCTGGGATTTTGGGAACTCATATAGATCATAAGAAATTGAGAAGTGGCTATAAGTGTATTAAATTCTGTTTATTTCTGCCTTGCTCATTCTTTTTTTTGGTTCTCTTCACAGTCCACTAACCTCCTTCAGGAGTTTATCGATTACATCAAGGTATGATGAATCCTTATTTATTTCCAATTATTCTATTCCCATAATGTTTGTACCATTTAGGTAACCAATCCATACCCTATAATTACTATCTGCAGTGAAGCACCATTATAGCGCACTTCATTGCAGTGTGAATTTGGTATAACGTGGTTGCACTGTGCAATTGTCCATTACTCATGTGCACAGCTTGCCCGCTTGTTTCCTGTGCACTGGTTGGCTTTTTCCCTGCTAAAATGGACAACCTTCTGGTCATTTGGTCACTGCCTTTGTCACTTCCTGCTTTAGACATGCAGAACAAACGGATGTGACTCCAGTCGTGATTCGATGACCTGAAAGAGCCATTTTTTTTTTCTTTTCAGCATTGGAACTTACCAGTACGTAGGGAGCAAGTCAATCAATTGTGTTCTTGTGCAATGGAATCAGGTATTGCACCCTGTAATAGGTTGAGATTTATGGACTCCAAGAACCATGTGTGTTATAACAAGGCCCCACTGTAGCTTCCAACTCAGAAATGATGAATATTTATTTCTGAATTGCTTCAGTTCATGTGCAGTGAACTACAGTTGCATTGTCAGAGGTGCCAACATTCAGGTGAGATGTTAAACCAAGGCCCTGTCTACATGTTCTTCAAGTGGATGTTTAATCCCCATGACATTACTTCAAAAAGTAAAACCAGTTTCTTCTAAGTTTTTGTTAACAATCTTCCAGATTCATTGATCAACTAATGGCTGTTGTGCGACCTTTCTGTCCACAAATGGTTGCCATTTTTGTGTACAATAGTCACAACAACAGTTAGTAATGTCCTGTGAGATGCTTTGGAATACTTTGGCATTGGTACTAAAAGTTTGTTCTTTATTACTTATGGAAAAGACTTTGGTTTCTAACCTCAACAATGATGCCTAAAAAGAACCACATTCAGTGCCTTCCCCAAAGATTAGTCTTTAATATCCAAAGAAATATTATCTGTGAAGAGGGCTGGGTTTGAGTAGTAGAGTTGGATAAATAGATGAATAAAGATTCTACTTAATTATCTTTGGTGATCAGGGTAGAACCATGTAAACTTTTCCCTGTGAGAGTGAGTGACATGAAATCCACAATAGGGTACGCTGTGTGTGTTCTATGAAAGAAACTGGATGGGCTAAATGGCCTTTTCTCGCCATTTCTCATCTTTCCTAGGAAGGAAAGGCTTGCTGTGCAGTTAAGTAACCTACTGGTGAATTTGTGCCATGATCATAATTGCTTGAAATGAGTGCTGGAATAGGTGGGTACAGGTTAAAGTCATAATGACCTGCCACTGCATTGCCTCCATAAATGCCTTAGTTTGTTTTGAGTCGATACTATGCAACATTAGATGGGAGTGTAAGCAGTTTGGGTTCTTTTTAAAAAAAATACTCTACAATTCATTCAACTCATCCAAAGCTATCGCAAGAGTTTGTTGTCCAGGATATGCCACTCCAAAACTATTTTTGCTGGGAGGATGTAATCACTTTTTAACTAGGTCACTGTTCCCGGGGTATGGTTTCAGATACCAGAAGCTCTCACCCAAGTGCTCTTTCTTCAACTGTATCAGCAGAGGCTCTTGACTGTGGGAGATATCACAGCAAGCCTAATGCTGTCCTCACTTAATATCCACACAATATGCACTTTCCTGCAGAGCTTACTAGATAAAAGACTAGGAACATGAACCTTGGATGACTTTTCATTGCCTAACTTGGGCCCCCGGTTCAGATCAATTAACTTTGCACAGTATTGTATTGATTAGAGCACTTGCCGCACAAGTGAGAGGACCCTGGTTTGATTCCCAGGTAGTGCGAAACCTTAGACAAGTTTGCTTACTTCACTGTTTACCTAGCAATAACAACAACAAGAAGAAGATTACAATTGTATAACGCCTTTCACATCGGGAGGACGTCCCAAGGCGCTGGACAGTGTACAACATTTCAGACCTGAGCCGGAGTTGGGATGGGGGGGGGGAAGAGGGGTGACTGATGGCGTGGTCGAAGAGGAGGGTCTTGAGGCGGGACTTGAAGGAGACTAAGGAGGGGGCGAGGCGGAGTGATTGGGGGATGGAATTCCAGAGGTTGGGGGCAGAGAGGCTGAAGGCTCTCCGGCCAATGGTGGTGCGGGTGGATCGGGGGCGTGGATTAGGCTGGAACCGGCTGAACGGAGGGAACGGGCGGGTTGGTAGGGTGTTAGGAGGTCGCAGAGGTAGGGTGGGGCGAGGCCATGGAGGGCTTTGTATGTGTGGACCAGGATCTTGAACTGGATCCTCTGAAGGATAGGGAGCCAATGGAGTCGGATGAGAATGGGGGAGATGGGGTCACGGAGTTTGGTGCAGGAGAGGACACGGGCTGCAGAGTTCTGGATTATCTGCAGCCTGTGGAGGGAGGAGTTGGGAAGACCGACAAGCAGGGCATTTGCATAGTCCAGCCTGGAGGTGATGAAGGCATGAACAAGAGTTTCAACGGCCTGAGGAGTGAGGTAGTGGCGGAGTCGGACGATGTTACGGAGGTGAGGGAAGGCAGAGCGGGTCATGGCTTGAATGTGGGGAGAAAAGACAGTTGAGGGTCGAACAAGACACCTAGATGAGTTGAAGTGTGCAACCATGGAGGTTGATGCTGCCAGAGCCTGAGGTGCTGGTGTGAGCCAATTAGGAGGACCTCAGTCTTGTTCACATTCAACTGTAGGAAATTTTCCCTCATCCAGGACTTGATGTCCGACGCAGCATTGTCCTGACATAGAAATGTGGTTGTTAGTCGATTGGCAGATCGCTTTCTGCGGATAATAATCCTTTTTAAAATAATAATAACAATAATTTGTCCACTAATACCAAGTCTAATACCAACTTATATTGTAATTCCCCCTTTACAATCACTGATGAATCACTTTGGCCAAAGGTTGGTGTGTTTTACACAATGCCAGTAACTTAAGAGACCAAGACGATTAGAAGCCACTGCCTGCATGATAGAGGTTTACTGCACATCTCTGCCAAGTGAGTAGGAGAGGTGCTTCAAAGACTATTGCGAATGGGTGGGAGGGTGTTTTATATCTGAACACTACAGTGCTTGGGTAGCTATGACAAGACTGCAGTTTCCTATGAAAATGAGGAAAGACCCTTGTGGCTGGTGTTGTTGCAGTTATTACTCATTTTCTCCAGAGAGGTACTGTACAGTATGATGAACTTATGTGAAAATCTGATGGTGAATCCTCCTCACCAATTAACTCATCATATCCTTTGGGGGCGATTGATCGTCATGGTTATGGCTGTTATTGATAATTATTTATTAAAGAACATTTAAAACTGTTTCTGAAACTCTTGTTTGGGTGAGAGACCACAAAATTGTGTCAACTCAATTCAAAAACATAAGTGAAAATAAAATGCAGTTTCATTTGCTATTTGAATGAGGAAACTATAACTGTATACACTTAGTTATTACAATAGATTAATGTGCTGTACTGTATTGTGATCTTTGTTGTACCTTCTGATGAATGGAATTAGAGATAAAATAAATAATTTGGTAACTCAATCCACGACTATTTGTGGGACACTGCTGTGCACAATTGGCTGCCTTTTTTCAACCACAAAATATACTGTCAATTCACTTTACAGCGCTTTGAGACATCTCAACATTGTGAAAAGGCACCACAGCAAATGCAGGGCTCGTTGTTATTATTATGATTACAGTAGGGGAGTGAGCTCCTGCAGAAATACAAATGACTGCTTTCTTCTGTAAACTACTTATTCTGTGATTCCACTGGGTAAATTTAGAATTAAGAGATTAAGAGAATTAGAATGAATTATCTGCTCTTTGTAATTTCCATAATATTTGCACAAAATCTCTGCCTGCAAAGGAAAGTTATAATACTAAATAATCCTTGCGTTTGACATAGTGCTTTTCACTTCTTCTAGACGTCTCAAAGCGTTTCACAGAATATCCTGTAAAGTGAATTGACTGTATATTTGTGGGCAAAAGCGCGGCAGCCAATTGCGCACAATAGTGTCCCACAAACAGTCGTGGATTGAAAATGACCAATTTATTATTGTTTTGTTTTTGGAGGGATTATTATTAGGCGTGTGGAGTAAGGAAACTTGCCCAAGGTTTCGCCCTGTCTGGAATTGAACCCAGGTGTCTCACTTGCAAGGCGAGAGCTCTAACCACTGAGCTACAGGACTCAAATCAGTCATATATATCGATGATATCAAATTACCAGATCAATATCCCAAATGAATAGTCATAGTTAGGGATATATCCACTTTACCTTGTATCATCTTGGATCTATTTTTGCATTGACTGCAGATAGAGAGGGAGGGGAATTAGCTACAGGTATAACAATTGATGTCTGAAATGTTGACAAAGCAGGTGCTCCAAATCAGGTCTTCAGTCAACAACAATAAATGACATTTGTATAGCGCCTTTCACGTCGAGAGATCATTCCAAAACATTGGACGGTCAAGGATTTGCACCCGAGCTGGGGGTAGGGATCAGGAAGGGTGGAGGGCAGGGAGGGAACGGGTAGGAGGGTGACAGAAGGCACGGTCGAAGAGGAAGGTCTTGAGACGGGGCCTTGAAGTTACCTCAACAAAGTGGAAAAAGATGAATTCACGTGAGCAGAGAGCAGAAGACGATGGACTGTGGCAGCTCCAGCTGTGAGAACTGAATTCCATGGGCTGGTCACGCAGTTTTCTTCCTCAGTCCATAGTAGTCAGTTCTTCCGTTTGGCTGCTTGATTCTCCAGCAACTTGTTTGGGTGTTTGTTCAGGTTCAACAAATCCTCACAATCTGAGCATTTCTTCAACTCCTCCCCACCCTTCCCAGCCCTTAATGATGTTTTATGTTAAGGCGCCTGGTTGGTATGAACTGAAATAAAGTAAAGTATCCTGGGTCTTAACATAACTCTGGCCACCCTGTCCAGATAGACATCTAGATGAAAATTTAATGAGCAAATAAAAAAATTAAAAGCAGAACCTGTACCTCTCAATCCAGCGGGTTTTGGTCATTCAATCTACAACTGCTTGTGGGAAGTGTACGCAATTGGCTGACGCATTGTGTCCACAAAATACACAGTGAATTCACTTTACAATATGTTCTGTGAAGCACTTTGAGATGTCTCAATGATGTGATAAGTCGCTATATCAAATGCAAGGAGTATTGTAAGGGCTATGCATGATTTGGGTAAGATTATATTACTTTGAGGGGATCACACTATGACTTAAACATGAAAGAGTTTCAGCCACAAAAAAATGCATTGATTGTAACCTATAATAGCTTCAGTGATGATCCATTAAATTAACCACCAAGGATTTGTTCTCAGGAGCTTTGCTTCAACACCAGCAAAGTACAGCGAGAGTTCCTGTTTCATTGTGTCTTGCTTGTAAATTGTTGGGATTGTAATTGGTTTTGTTGTGTAACAAGTTGAAGCCTGTGACCACCACCATTGTGTCTTCTCAGAGTACCAAGGTTGTTCTTTTGGAGGACCTGGGCTCTCATTTTGGGTTGAAGACGCAGGTAAGATGGGGAAAAACCGATACCCTTTAATCACGTTTGTTTCTCGTGCCCTCCATTCCACCCTCAGCAGCCGGGTTTTCAGCTACTACGTCCCAAAACTCTGGAATACTCCCCCTCAATCCATTCGTATTGCTCCCTCCTTCCCCATCTTCAAGTCCTGCCTGAATGTGCTTACGGTCATCTCCCCCACCCCCTGCTCGGTGTCAGGCTCTTCCACTGTTAAGCACTGAGGTGCAACTCTGCGCTCAGAGAGGTGCTATATAAATGTAAGTTGTTATCTCCTATTATAAGTTTCAAATGAAAAAATTGTCCATTGTTCCCTCCTTCCCTCCCTCGTTTCTCTCTAACTGAGGCAGTGAGGTGTTGGAATTGACCTTGTTGCTCCTGATTTATGGAGTGGGAAAAGGCATTGAGGATTCCCTGGGGGTACCATTCTGTGATACTCTCGCCAGTGGTCAGAAGGTTGTGGATTCAAGTCCCATATTGAGACTTCAACTCATGCACTAGGTTGACATTCCAGTGCAATACAGGGGGGACACGGCATTGTGGAAGATGTTGTCTAGCCGAGGTCCTGTTGACAACTGTTCTTTGGGGAGATGTTAAAATATCCCATGAGATTATTCAAAAATAAGATGTGGCCAAAAATCCTCCAAACTAATAGGTCTTTCACGCCATAGCTGTTTGTGTACTTTGCTACTGCAAATGCCTGCCACGTGTGTTTCCAAAAACAGTCACCAGTAGTTACCCGTAAAGCACTTTGAGGCATTTCAATTTGGTAAGGCCCTGTAACAATGCAAGTTCTTTGATTATTTCCTTTCTCTGCTCTGCTTTCTCTGCACTTGTGTGATATTAGTAGCACATGTTTGGGCTTGTCTGTAGTCCCCTTTCCTAATCGTAGAATAACTGCTCGAATAAGCTGCTGGAATCCCCCAACACCTGTGGAATCCATCTTGACATGAGCCGTCTTCAGGAGGGAAGAAGAGACAATTCGAGAGAAAACAAATTGATCGGCTGACTTTATTTTTATTTTTTAGGATGCCATTAATAGGCTCCAAGATCTGATTGCTGAGGGGACTGTGACAGGTATGTAGTTTTTGTAATTTGTCGGAAAGTGAAACTTGTCATTTGGATGTTTAATCCACCCAAATGTGGTGATAGTGGAGCCTTAAAGGGGAAGTTGTTCATTGTTCTCGATCAGTGTAGAACACACTCTCAGGAGACTGATTATTAACTTTTTTAAACCAGACATTCACTTTTTTAATCTTTTAATAAAAACCTTGACTTCCATTTGCTGTATTTTTTTAAAAATTGCAATCAAGACACTGGCTATCTTGCAGGATGAGACTTTAAACCGAGGCCTGGCTTCCTGTTCAGGTGCACATTAAAGATCCAACGGCACTATTCAAAAAGAGAAGAGAGTTTCTCCTGGTGTCCTGGCCAACAATCTCTCAAATAAAATTGGTCACTCACTCCATGGCTAGTGTGGGACATTACTATTTGCAAATTGCGCTGCTGTGTTTATACACAGTCGATCCACTTTACAGAATATCCTGTGAAGCGCTTTGAGATGTCTCGATGACGTGATGAGGCGCTATATCAGATGTAAGGATTATTATTCTGGTTTAAGATGGATCGCTACCCCGTGTGAAGTGTGCTATATAAATGCCAGTTGTTCTTGACTAATGTTGGCAATTCCTTTAAATCATGTCTTGCAGGCGTACTGGACGACCGAGGAAAGTTCATCTACATCACTCCACAGGAGCTTGAAGCCGTGGCTCAGTTCATCAGGTTTCAAGGGCGAGTCTCCATCGTAGAACTGGCACGAGTCAGCAACTCCCTAATCAACCTTAACCCTGCCACAAACGCTGCTCCGGAAAATGTAGCCCAACATTCACTCTCTTAATTCAATGAAACTGAAGTTAAAAGCTACATATTTTGCATTGCAGAATAAACACAGTTGGCTCTAGTATTTGTGTGGGGGAAATATTTGTGGTTTTTGTTTCCTGCTTGAAGGGTGCTATATAAATGCAAGTTGTTGTAGTGTCTTGTGGAAGCCTAATCAATCCACCAAGAAACAAAATATTGGGATAATGAGGCTCCTAAAGCAGAATTTTAGCTCAAATTTCTCATAGTCATCACTGAGGTTGGATGAATCACTAACTATCCTAAAATGCTTTTGTGAATTGTTGAACTAAGTTTTTATCTTTGATAAATGGAAGACCATTCATAAACAGCCTTCATTATTTACTATGGCACTGCGACTGCTTTGTGAGCTTGTTGTGTTACATAAAGTTATACAGAATGATATGGCATGCAAACAGGTCATTCAGCACAACTGGTCTGTACCAGTGTTTATACTCCACAAGAGTCTCCATCACTTCCATTTCCCTCATCTATACCCCTCTATTCCCTTCTCCCTCTTACAACAAACTCCTGACAACTCGTTGCTCCAACCAAGGGAAAAGGGCTCAGTTATCCAGAATGGTGAGTTAGGCATATGTGTAAATAATACATAAATAAATGCATCGGGATATTGACAACATTATGACTTGTGGTGCTGACAAGTTAAGCCAGGGTTTATCAAGAGTTTATTGTATTTGCATCAAGTTTTCTCTAAGTACATTCATGCTATTTGCTTCTATACATTTCTATATGGAGTCCTGCAGCATATTGGTTAGAGCACTCGCCTTACAAGTGAGAGCTGAGAGGACATGGGTTTGTTTCCCGGGGGTGGGGTGGGGGGCAAACGTTAGGCAAGTTACCTTACTGCACACTCCTCCGTTTACCTAGCGGTAAGTATGAATCCAGTTCTTCCCAGATTGGCGGATTGCTTTTCCGAGGGTAATAATCCCTTTTAAAAATAAATAACATAACTTGGTCACTCAATTGATGACTGTTTGTGGGACACTACTGTGTGCAATTGTCTGCCGCATTTTGCCCACAAATATGCAGTCAATCCACTTTATGATATATTCTGTGAAGCACTTTAATACATCTCAACAATGTGATAACGAGCTATATGAAATGCAAGGATTATTAGTATCATTATTCCCTGAAATGCTCTTCCTCTCTTGGCTTACTTCCTCTCTTGGTAACTTCAAAACCCACTTAAAATATAACTTTTCCACCGTACACTTGGTGACCTTCCCCAGCTCTCAACCTCACTTCTCTCAGTGCTCCCCATTAACAGTGGTGCTTCAAGGCATTCATCCTTTATGAACGGTGTGATAGAAGTGCAAGTTGT